TACAGCTGTATTAATAGAGTGGGATAGAGCCAATTAGCCACAAAAAGGGGCAGAAAGGGCCGGACTATGAGATACGATAAAAGAATGATGCAGCGGTGTCAGTCGTTGAGGTAGTCAGAGAAGGGAAGTTGTGTCAACTCTTCTGTACTATCTTATCCTGCTCGAATATCAATAACTACTTGCAATAAATTCATTGTGAAATGTCAGACATTACTACGAGTATGATCTCATTGGAAGAATAATAGAATGAGCTTGAATGCGGATTAAATAATCAACATGATACTTAATTAGTAGCTAGTTTTGGATTTAACTAACTATACAGGATTGAACACTTACTGATATTTTCATTTTAGGTGCAGAAAATTACCAAAAGCTATGTATGAATGGCCTGCTTACATCGATTTGAAAGAGAAAATCGACGATTTCAACGAAATTTGTCCATTATTGGTACTAATGGCTAATAAAGCAATGAAAGATCATCATTGGGATCGACTTTCAAAATTGTGCAATCATTTTTTTGACGTCGAGTCCGAGAACTTTACATTAGCTCATGTGATAGAAGCTCCATTGCTCAAATATAAAGAAGACATTGAAGATATTTGTATAAGTGCTGTTAAAGAAAAGGATATCGAAAGCAAATTAAAGCAAGTGATCGCTGATTGGGCAAATGTAGATTTGAACTTCGCCCATTTCAAACAACGGGGAGAGCTCTTACTCAAGGGGGTAGAAACTGCGCAAATAATATCACAATTAGAAGACAGCTTGATGATTATTGGTTCTTTGTTGGCTAATCGGTTAGACATACTGAATAATAAATATCACTTTACACTTAAAAATGATATGCGATATGCAAAAATGTATATTTTTCAAAAGCGGAATAATATTCCTCGATTCAGTATGTATATTCTTCAAATGGCTTTGCAGTTGGTACATGAATAAATTGATTCTTTGGACGATAATGAAAATTGATTAGTGACTCGAGAAAAAAAGGTGAAGGGAAAGGAAAAACTGATACAATTATCCTCTGGGAAAGTGTAGGTCTGGGATTTTACAAACCTTTATTTCGTGTAATACAAAGATTCTTCAAAGTAAAGACCGTCAGAAGTCTCTAAACCACTGTCAAGATTTCAAGCGACGACTAGTAGCAGTAATAATGTCCAAATTCCGGAAGAATATTCTCAAATTAGTTGCCTCTCAATCCCTACTAATAATTTGCAAAGTATCACATTGTTTAGTAAAAATGGGTTTAGTAATTGAATTCAAATATGACTCGTCGCTCGTTCTACTACGATGATTCTGGTGGTGCGGAGCCTACTTGGGCTAATTATACGTTATCTTCATAGCTTCATCGACTGCTTCGTGGATTTCTTTCCGGAACATCTAACATGGCCTAGCCTGAATTTATTCCCCCTACCATTTGTGTCTGGATGCTGTAACTCCGCTCGATCTACCTCTAGTGAGTCCAAAACGACAACCAGTGCGTCTGTAGCGATTGTTTTCATGACCACGGCAAAGTTCTTAGGAAATTAACCTAAAAGAAATTGGTCGAGTTCGAAAATCTCGGTTCATTCCATAATTCTTTAGGAACCGATATTACGCTTTAGATTTGCCGAACTGGCGTATAATTTTCCGTGATTTTTATTGCTGTCTATACATAAAAAATAGTAGTCTTGTAATGAAATTTGCGAATCTCCGATGACATTATTGGAATATAGAGTGGCGACATTGAACAAGAAGATGTTATCCCATTAAACATTTTCTACCTATTTTGTTTATTTATTATATTATTATATTTTATTATTATGTTTTCTTTTCGAAATTTACTCTTGCGCACCACTATATAGAAAATGTGTTAGCATCTTGGATTACCGTTAGACTTGTTAAAGAGTATGCACCTATCAAGTTTTATCTCGATATAATTCATTGTTATTCAGAAATAAAATTCGGAGAAAATAATACGGTTTGTTCGTAGAAAATAATATGTAGAAAGTAATACGTTTTTATTTTACCTCTATTTTCTAGGAGACATAATAAATTATGAGCTCTACAGGTTAGTTTCAATAAACTTGATGGCTACAACAGCGCTTTTTGTCTTTCCTTTTCTTTCCCGTTTTCTCTTCTCTTCGAGTCACCACTTCAAAGCACCTGATCATACAAGAGTTAATTTATGTTCATGTGTGGTCACTGAAAGGCATCTAAAAAGAATATATTTTGGATTGCGAAATATTATACCGAAATTAAGAATAAAATATCCCGGTTTACGGACTGTGGATATTCTTGATTAAGCAATTTTATAGAAGCCTGTTGAAAAGATTTTTTCAATTTTTGATGTTTCTATTTTCATTGCCTTTGCCATATACGTTAAAAGAAATATGCTTGGACTCTTACATTATTGAGTACTTCTTAATAGTACTTGAAGCTTTCATATTACTATATGAGAGAAAATAAGCAGAAGGGAATGCGAATCAAAATAGAGAGGATTTTTTGAGGGCAGGCATGGGCAGCTTCAGGTACCTAGGAAAAACTTCATAGAATTGTTTCTAATATTAGCAATTTTATGAAGTTTATGATCATGGAATTATAAAGGTCCTATTAGGATCATAGTGCGGAGCAGTAATTCGCGTCCGAGTCACTGCAGCTTAAAACGTTTCTTGATTAGTGCATAACAGGATGAAGTGGACACAAAGAGCAGCGCCAATCATTAATAAATTATGGATCTAAAGACTTACATTTTATCCGCAATTTTTAGCGCCGATTTTTCTGGGGCGTAACGGGTTCGAATCTAAGTTTAGAATATCCATTTTTTCAGTAAATTTTTTTTGTAAAATCTGTGACCGCGGGTGAGAAAAATAATATTAAATTCATTCCTCCCAAGACATGGTGACTCCGGTGGTTAAATTATTGGGGGGGAAATACTCAGTAACTTTAAGGCAGGGCCTCAGATAGAAAAACAACCATTTGACCGATTGTTGCGGAGACCGCAGTTTACTGCGATGAAATTTTTCTATATCTGAAAAGTTGGTATAACAACAAAAAAAAGGGAGCTTAAGAAAAACCGCACATAATAGTGAGGAATGTCGGTATGTCCAGCCTAAATATCGATTATGCGAGGTAACCACAATAAAAGGTATTACCCGGCAGATAATCGAGTGGCCGCCATTATGGCCTGAGAGGTGTTAAGGTTGTTGTCGTGTAAACCCGTTTTTCGACAGATTTTTTTAAAATTTTTGCTATAGATAGCTCTTAAAATTCCCTCCAAAATGAGCACAACAAAAAACTAATCGTCAGTTTCTGAGCTGAGATATGATTTTTAGAATTAACATGGGTTCAAATGCATTTCACGGTTTTTATTTAAAAAAAAAAACCACTCCACATTTTTTGATGAAATTAACACAGAACGTAGAAATAGTGACTACCAATATACTGAAAAAAAAGAAAGTGATCGTCACTTTCGTAGTAGAGCAATAAATTTTCAAAGTAGCATTATTTCTCCCAGTGGGCGGAGCACATGGGTTTGTTGCGCGCGACGCGACAACGCTTTTTGCTCGAGTGGCGCGAATCAATTTGGAATAGTCAATGACGAATTAAAGGGACGATTCATAAATAAAATAAATACATTGAGTGAGAAAGAGAGGGACATGAAAAAAGAGACACGCTGCGTGCAGTTGCCACAATCGGCGCCATTTAGCGTTAGCTGTGCGTACATGTATCCATGCATGGTAGATTCTTGTGTGCGTGAGTCGAGTGGAA